GTACCAATACTGAGACCAAAAATAAAATATAGGTGTATTTCAGGTGTTTTCTTACACATGCTAGAAACAAAAGGAAAATGTTCAAAATCCCATATTAAAACATCATAGCATTGTAAATTTGGTTGTGATACATGCTAATCGGAAGTTTCTCATTTTTGTTACTGAAATGATTTTGTCTGCTGACCATTTCATCAGAAAAATATTGATCTGGAATGAATCAAAACTCACAAACCAGATTAACAGGAGATCACTGTGTTTGATATCTTGATGATAACTCTATATAAACATTGGAAGTAAACAAAACCTGCTATGAAACATTAGTGTACCATTTTTCCTTTGCTGTACTTGTATGTAAACAGCAATGTGCTATTTATAGTCATGTTTGGTTAATATTTAATTATTCAGGGGGAAGCGGGAGGTGGAAGGGGTAAAAGTCTGACAATGCCGATAGTTAACCAACCAAAGGTTTTAGTCTAAAAAACGATACCAAGTCAAAAATTAGGATTTTGTGACAGGAGTGTAAAATCCTTGCAAGAAAATTGTTTGTAAAATTTTCAATAATAAGGGCTCACAATGACCCTGTGGTTGGGATCAATGAGGATAACACTAATTAGGTGCAAGACTTGACACAATAATCTTTCATTTTTTTTTATTATTATTATTATTACCTAATGGAATATATCACATCCCTTATACAATGGATTTTCAATAAATCATAAAATCTGTAGTTCGATATATATATTTTATTCTTATTTTGGTTTTCCTGACACCAGACAACCTTACCTCACATAATGCTCAATGAGGCCATTGTTCTTGTCTGGGTTGGAATACATGATCTCCATTCCTACCTAAACAAACAAACAATAAAGGCCCTGTATTACACACTGCCCTTTTTCATGTTGTTTAAAACAATGAAGGTTGTACTGTATACTGGAACGATACATTTGATCAATATGCCATGTGGTGAACATTTTCAAAAGGTTAGTATGAAGGTCCTGGTTTTAAATGGAACTTTTTTTGGAAGAAATAAGACAGGTGTTCTTACTTTAGATATATTTATTGCCTTATTTGAAGTAGGCCATACTATTATGATGCTTTATTTTCCTGAATATTTTATAAAATATTAGATGACTTGCAATGTAATTTTGCAAATGTCAAACTAAATCACACTTAAACAAGATGGGATACATTTTTATGTACAATGTGCATGTCAAGATTGGATTATGTGTTTATACAACTTTCTCTAAACATGGTATGTGCAAAGAGTTGATGTAAGAGATGATAACCAAAAGACATGAGGATAGAATTTGTGGTAATTGTTCCACAGTTTAGAGACTGACCTTCCACAGAGATATAGCAGAGTGAGTTGGGTCATCGCCAAGGAGACGGAGCACAGTAAGACTGTTTGTCCAAGCGTGTGCCAGGAGGTAGTCCCTGAGAACGGTCACCAGGTAAGGCTGTAGCAGACTGCCTGTAGATTGCAAAGATGTTACTACTAGTACGTTATTACCTTTAAATTTACAAATGACAAAATCAAAAAGTTTAAACTACAATTTTAAATTATTTATTTGTACACTCATAAGTCAAACCACATTCATTCCTCACAAAGTGGTAGGATTGATACATGGCTGGGATACTGGACCACTTTATATAAGAATATAAAAAGAGAAATTGTGGTATCTGTTCCAAACACCAGCTAAATATATTCAATCATTAGATTTTCATATTATTTTTTTTGAATTGTTCTTCCATTGTCATTTGATTTATTAGCAAAAGGAACATTAACAGCTGTAATAATTGTGTCACCTGCACATATTTTTGTGAAATATTTATTTTCATGATCTTTCTTAATTAACATAAACAGATATCTTTGTCTGAGGAGGTCTGTATCGTGACTACATGCTACCACACAGGGCCTTACTCTCGTCATTCTGATTCTGGATGTTGAGGGCCAAGGACTTGAACCACTCCACAGCCGTTGACTCTGTCTGGTCTGCATATACCAAGGTCTCACTGTCGTGCATCAGTAGTTCACACACATCCTTCTGCAGTAAAGAATGTTAAGTACAAAAAAAAATATAAACAGTTTATTCAGATAATGCAATAAAAGGCCAAATGGCCTGCATTGCTCATTCCACAGTATTAGATTAGAGCGCTATCTAGATTAGAGTGCTCATTCTTATTCAATGCTGTTGGCAAACACATGACATCTCCCATATCTTGACCATCAAAATAGCTCACGGCCAAATATTTAAACAAACATGAGAGCAGGCAAGCTAACAATACAGGCTGTACACATGTTTATCATTTCTGTGAAAATTAAAGGTCTTTATTGGAAGATTTTAATCAAAACAAGCTACATACATGTACATGTCAACTCCCTAGCCATCTTCTGAGAGGTATTCCCTCTGAGCAAACTCCCAAAGGGAATATAAATTATATGTGAAACTTTTACATTATTTCTAAATTAAGTTCAATGGTGCTGGGAAATATTTTATCAATTCTTATCCCATTTTATTTACAAGGAGGTGCGAATTGCCACTCCCCTTACTTTAGTGACC